ATAACAACCTTTGTGGTAACATTGCTTTCTTATTGTCAGGATACACATTTTCCGTCAACAGTGATCAAACTCATAACTTTGGAATGTGTTTGTGTGATGAGGAATAATTTCTACGGATGTAATTCGCATATACTGTATATTTAGACCACTGACCTCACAAACGTTAATGAAAACTCGAGAAGGGGTTAAAAACAGCCAGTTACTGGGAAGAATAGCTGGAAACATGAAAAAGGTAAATATAAAATATCCATGGATGGCTTTTGTTGGATCATTTGAAATGCAGGCAAATGTCTCGCAGGCAGTTTGGAGTTCATCCCCATCTTTCTCCAGGTGAAATCCAAACAGAAGACAGCTTCACACTCTCCCTGCCCATGCACAATAAAAATACTGTTACCTCCATTATTTCCAACATTTCAACATTAGCCAGATTGTTACAAAGACATTATTCAGTGTTTCACGTTGCTGAATATTTACAGTTGCTTGAACAAGTATATCAACACCCTTAAAGTCCAACGCTGTTGCATCAGTGTATTCACATTTTACATTAAGCAACAGAAAGACAACACTGTGAAAATTGTTCTTCTTTGCTTTTCACATGCTGCAGAGCCACTTCTGTCATAGAAGTGTCTGAGTGGCTCTCGAGTGCACTGCAAAGTCCCAAGGCGTGTCAAGATGCGTCTGTCTGCAGCTTCGGGTCCAAAAGCCCAGCAGTGCATCGGGTCATCGGGCCTCCAGTTAAATGAAATACTCCTTTGGGTTTTCAGTGGAGAGATTCTGGGAGTCAGCCTGGTTGTTAAAAGGAAAGTCTTGGCTGTCCTCCTGTTTGACTCCCTTCACTTCCTTGCTACGATATGTATCCTTCCTCCGGTAGAGGAATCTGGCCGTTATCGCCAGTGCAGTCACAATCACAAAGATGACTACTGCAATGACACCTGTAAGGTAAAAGGATTTTGTAGCATATCAGATATCACCTTTCAGATTTCAATGTGGTTGAATGTTCTGACGTTATTGTAGCTGATGTATGCATTGGAAGCAAACTCTTCCCCTCGTAGTACCATCTCTAAATTTTTTGATTATCTTGCTAATCGCACTTTAGAGAACATTAAACACCAGTTTAAATCTTTGGAAGCCATCGCGCTCTTCTGCTCTGTTGAGCACATTTGGGAATACGAGAGCAGGCTCCATTTAATTGGCATTCCAGAATCCATCTGAAATCAATTTCATACTACGTTACATTATAAAGTGACCAGAGGTTTTAAGATAAGAGCAGAAAAAGTTTTCCCATCAGCAAATCATCCCTACATTGGTTTAATTAGATGGGCTGCCCTTTGTGTACTGGATGGTTTAATGGACAGTTTTAAATGACTTTTCTCTGAGTCTCACCTTTTCTATCTGCACAATTATAGATTGAACCTTTTCAGTCTTCACTTTGAATCAATCCGTGCTGGCAGAGCAGCAAAGTTTTAAATGAGTTTTAAATGGACTCCTGCCTGGCAGACCACTTTACTCTTTCTTGGAGTTCAACCTCTCTCCACAACTTGATTCGCTTGAACTCATCACTTTTTTTTTTAAATAAAAAGGCACCAGAAAAGCATGTGAAATTTCATTATTTTTAGTCAAGGGCAATACGATTGACATGATAAAACAACTATTTTCCACTGAAGCAGCGCTGGTGTCCAATTTTCCACCACAAATAACACGGACACTGATGTCAGGAGTTCTATCTTTAAGCAAAGCAATTTTGTTGTTGCTTAAAAAAAAAAATCACCAACAAATTACAGATGCAGGCCAGTTTCTGTTTGCTGTCATTCTCCTCACACAAAAATAACCAAACCTCTGCTGAAAATGTTGCACAAATCTCTTGAAATGTAGGTAACGAGGTGTAGCTGCCTGCACACCAGCACTGCACGGGTGGAAAATGGCTATAAGTAAAGTCCAGTGAAGAAGATACAAAGGTAAAGCAGTTTAGTACCTCCAATTAGGGCCGAGTCAATCCTGATGGAATTGACTAAGGGTACACCTGAACCCACTGAACCAGACTGGTCTACAGGAGAGAGAGGAGAAAAGAAAAAGGTGGAGAAAGCTAAGGACAAGAATGTGAAAGGACTGCAAGAATAAAAACAAGGAAGAACAGCCAAAATCATTCACACCAGAAGAAAGAAGCACAACATGAGGCAAAATTAGAATAAAGAAAGAAATGAGATCAAATCAGAGTCAAAAATGAAAAGCAGAGACTCAAAAAAACCCCAACCCATCAGATCAGGGAAGATTACTTCAGCTCTACAAGTGACTGCTGTAAAGCATTGCAAACTGGATTAGAAAGAACCCAAAGGATGGAAATCCTAAACGAATCTCCTGTGTCTCAAACTCATTAAATCATCAGTCATACTCCCAAAACAAGAAGCATACTTCACGTAATTAACAAGCCGTTTCTGAGCTGGAAGAGCAGCTTTCATTCAGTTTCAGTGCAAAAATGAAAGACAGCAGGAAATATATGCCACCCTAATCACAGAATCAACTCCAAATCCCATTGGCCAGATTGGTTTTTGCATTACGTGGCATCATAGTTTTTGTAATAAATTTGCCTGTGTACTGTTGTAGTACAATCAATTACACTGGCCTTCAACGTTTGTCCTGAGAAATAAATATTTTGATATTATGATGATGAAATGCATTGTTGACGTAGCTCCTGTGGAGTTGAAGTGCTGGCATAAGCAAAAAAGATGGTACGTTTTCATTTAAAGGCTTTATACTTTACACGCTAACTCAGAGATGCATGAAAGTGTCTCAGTTACGACACTGCACAGTCACTGCTATCAGCTGTACTGGGTGCAGCTTATATTCTGCCAAACTGGCCGGCTCAGTTTAGATGTCTACTTAAGATGCAAACTGGAACAAATCCCTTCTTCTAAAACTGTATCTATTGATAAAATATTAAAATAAATATAAAAATGCACATCAGGAGAAAGGGTGGAGAACAATAACTGTAAAAAAAATGGAATAAAGTACAAGGTGTTACTGTTATTCCAGTGTGTTCCAGTGATTTTCCAAACAGTGGTTCTAGTTTTGAAACTAAGATGTGACATTTTTATTTTATTTTTTGCAAGAAAACATGTAGATGTTCAGCCAAAACTTTTAACTTTTAACATATTTATATTTTCAAAGATTATACCATAAAAACAAGTCAGATGTCTCCTCCTTTTCTCACCTGACAGGTGGTGTGTGTTCTCAGCTGAATAGGAATTGGCAGAAGCTGCGGAGCCGCAGTTGGACTGAGCTAAAGGTCCAGTGATGATGACGGGGCTGGAGTTGGGGCGGAGCAGAGCTTCTTTCAGAGGACTGATGGTGTTAAAGTGGACAACTGACAGGCAGCCTGTAAAACCGAGGGAAGCCAACCTGGATAGGTCTGCATCTAGGTCATCAGACTCTGGAGAGAGAAAATGAGCAAGATAGAAAATGTGTAGTGAGCAGTGAGGATCCAAAGGCAGGGCACGGGAGTTGACCTCAAAGAGCAAATAACAAAAGTAGTAAATAACGCCCTATTTGTGCAGGAAGAAACACTGTCAATATACACAGTGACTGAACAGAGGTTTGTAGATGGGTATGAAAACAGACTAATGACTTGCACGGGAGAAACAGGATGTAAATAAAACATAAACATAATAAATTACTGACAAGACACAAGAGGAGAAAAAAGGGAGGGGTGAAGAGTTCAGATGTAAAACAAAAGAAGAAAAACCGGAAGAAACTGAGACACAATAAAAATGAAGAGAAGGAAATAAGGAAGAAACAATACAACTTATCGAAGGCAAACAAAACATTATGTACAACAAAACACTGCATATATCAAAACGAACACCAACATTCATGCAGAAACTACAGTAGCTGAGTGGGCCATTAGTAATAATTATATTTATAAAGATAAAGTAACATTCAGGATGCAGATTTTATAATGAAGTACATTATTTGCTGTATAATCTTCCAATTAAATATTATGAATGCATGTACCATTGTTCATTAGTAATAGCGAAGCCAGTTTTCTGAGGGTTAACAGGGACACATTTATTAGTTAAATCCGTGTCTATGGAAACTGCCACACACTGAATAATTTCAGCATGCAGAAGTGCAGATGCAATGTGATCTGATTATACGTCCAGGCTTGGCTTTTCCAGTCTCGGCAATCACAAGGTGACAGGCGGCGTACAACCTGGACAGGTTGCTAGTGTGTTGCTGCGATCATCTGATTATCATGCACACACCATTTTAAAAGTACAGAAATCTTCCATTTATATACTGGCAGCATGCAGACAGACGGGCAGATTGCACTCTTCTCCCTGGTTCATTTTAGCAATACGTTTACTTGAACTCTGTTAAGCGAATCAGTTTTGTTGATTGCATTACTGATTATCTGTTGGTGAATTGTATGCTCACTTGGGTGATGGCACCAGCAAGACACAAATTGCTGCTCAATCCTGAAAGTCCCAATTTCCAGGGCTCAACATAAAGTTCCATTCATGTTATAGTGACCGCCTTGTAAAAATGCTCATATTTACATTGATATCTATTTAAAAGCCATGTCTACAACAACAATTTTGGTTGTTACAGCTAGTTGCTCCCTTAGTCAAACCATAGGATGGATCTTTTTGTTGACCAACACTAGCACTTTTGACCGGTGGATAAGTGGTTGCCTCCTGCATCACTTCCACTTATTCGGGTCACAAAACTGGACTTTAAAAAAAACAACCTTTAGAGCATTTTTAATGCAAGTATCTGATGAATAATATGCTTTGCAATGTGGTTAGCTTAGTTATGGCCTATTTGTAACTTCAACCTCTCCCAGTCTGTTGTGGCTCTGACAAAGATGGGGATAGTGTGACATGATCCATTGGATTGATCATGTTCTTAGGTTGGAATTCTTACTTTCTGTTATTCTATATTTTTATGGTTTAGATTTTTGTATCAGTGTCTTCTTCTTGTGTTCCCTTTTGTATCACGTTTCTAGTGAGTTTCCTTGTCGGTGTTAATTTGTTCTTTTGTCATTTCCTGTCTTATTTGGATAATTTTCTTGCATCTTGTTTTGTGTTTCACTATCTC